TGCAAAGTAAAAATGTAATCACAAAATCCTTGTGTTATGAAACATGTTTATACATCACTCACATTGTTCTGTGGMCTTTTTAGACAAATATGAAGAAAAAAAAACTAGAAGTCCTATATTATATTATGTACCAAATTTATATACACAGCAAATTACAGGATACAAAAAAATAAAGTAATTGTGTGAATAAATAATTTATATTAATTAAATAAAACAGTGTAGGAAATGTGCAAACGCCATGGTTCACCAAGCATGCTCACATCCAACAATAAATTAATTCAAATTCAGATTTTTGAAATTTATAGATATTTGTACAGACTATATTTTCTAATTCTTGAGTTAATATACACAGTTCTACAGTTTATAACAATTACAAAGTATATGAATCTTATTTAGAATTTAAATTAGTGAGAACATATTTTTTATTAATTATAAATATTAAAAGTTAAATAAAAAAATATCTTGTAAACTTAAGAGGATGTGATAGTGATACCCACATGTGCTGTCTCCGTCTTACAAGTGGGTAACATAGCAAACACTATTTCRCGTGGGAAAGAACCAAGAAGTCTACAGCTATAATTAAAAAGTAAAATTTTCACCATGAAAAAAGGAGAACTAACTGTCACAGTTTTTATTTTTTTGATAAGACCAATAATATATCAAAAGTTATTGAAGTTTGAAAAATTTAAAATTATCAGGTTTTTAAAAGTATTATAACTTATTTTCTTTTTAAAGATATCAAGCAAATACGACACAGAAAATATTATCTTCTATATTGTGTGAACTTTTTTGGTGYTTCTACTAAGAGTACAGACTGAGTAGTTCTATCTTGCGCTAAACAGTTTTTGCAATGTTATGCACACAGTGTGACGGAGACAACACATGTGGTTATCCCATTCTATTAAAATTTTTAATCTATTTGAAAATTTAAGTTTGTATCCATAGAGCACATTAATTGAGCAATATAAAAATTATCTAGAATTTGAAGCCTTAATTATTTATTTTAATCATATTATAATTATATTTAAAAACTTCAAGATTCAGATGGTTAATAACTGCATTGCTAATGAAAAAAGGGAGACGAGTATGCTTAATAAACAGAMATATATAAAATAAATTGCTTTCTTAAATATCCATAGTCATTATTGTAATAAATAGAATTTTTAAATAGCATGATACCTCTTTTTGTATGGCATGGAAATTCTTTCCGCTTATCAGTAATCCCATCTCAAATTTCAAAGTTTCATCTTCTGACCAGACACTTAATGATTTCTCCAAAGGTACTACATTTAATGACATTCTTCTGAGAGCTTCAGCCACATCATGACCACATTGAACTAACAAGTAAAGTGCCTGCAATTAAAAACACCAATTAATTTATAATTTAAAATATAAATATCATGAAGTTTTAAGTTATTATTTAAGTCTAGATTTGTATGAACTAAATATTAAAGGCTTAATATCTAGTGCAATTATGCACCAAACTCTATAAAATATGGGTAAACAAATATGTTCATTTGCAAAATATTGCATACAAGAAAGTTAACACATATATACTACACCACATCATTCCTTATGATTTACTACATTGATTTTTGATTAATATCAAACACTGAATATTGACTTTTGGTTAAAAATTTTAAAAAGATAAATAAAAAATGTTTTTTATCATTGACATAAAATTGATAATTTAAAAAAAAAGAAAATATTTATGAAATTGATACTGCCATACCAGTATTTATTCAAAACATATATCAATAAAACTGATAACATGGATTACAAACCATTTTCTTAGTAAATATTATTAATTGGTATTTGATATCTATATGGATAGAATTCAATAGTTATTCTACTAATTTTAACATACATTGAACAATATAATTAAAGTAAAATATTTTTGTTTGATATAGAGTTTTTAGTAAAGATATTCTTAAAAACAAAAATATTGAGTTGTTACATACTTTTTGTTAGGTTCAATAAAAACAAAATTTTTAAACAATCAAACAACATTTTATAAATATATAAAACATATTAAAAATATCAAAAACACTAAAATTTCTCCAATATACAAATTTGTAAATGATAAGTTTGTATAGGTACTCATTAGTTTTAAAATATCTAACTAAACATAAACAAAGAAAAAAAATTACTTTTTTACAAAATAATTTATGCATGTAAACTATAAACTTTGTTTTTCGGGTTTGGAAGGATAAATTATAATTATAATTATAAAATATACACACAGCAATGTAATATAATCATAATATATAATGACATAATTTACTTAACTTGATGTAATTTGTTGTAAATATTGTAATTAATTTACARTTACCATTATATTTATATTTTCTATTATATTGTCAATTTTTGGTAGACTAACATTTATCATGAAATAAACACAAAAACAATATATATTTATTGCTCTGCTCAGAATCTTAATACAAAACAATTTTT